CGACCATGCCCCCTCCCCCCTCCCCCAGGCAGGGAAGCAGAGAAGCAAAGCCAGGCCGGCTGTTGTGGCCCCCGGCCCCACTGGGCGCCCCCCTGACCTTGTCCATCTCCTTCTGGCTGGCCCCCTCCCTGCGCAGCCTCTCCAGCTCCTGGCACCGGCTGTGGAAGGCCTCCTTGGCCTTGGGCAGGTGCTGGGCAGCCCCCTGAAGCTGCTGGACGGCCTCCAGGGTCCCGGCCACTTCGTCCTTCGACTGAGCGGGGGAGGAAGAGGAGGAGCGGAAGAACTGGGGCCCTTCGTCACGCTTCCCCACCCAGCCCCCACCGGGGCCCCAGAGAGGACCTGGCCGCATTTGGCCAGAGAGCCCCGGGCCCCATCCCTTGGCCAGTCCCATGGTGGGGGGCGGAGAGGCTTGCAAAGGGATGTGCCCCCCCCCATGGTCCCTGGAGAACTCGGAGGGGGGGGGGCTCACCTTTCTGTGGGCCCGCAGCTGCTCCTCCCCATAGCGGCCGATCTCCTTGATGAGGTCCTGCAGCTTCTTCACCAGCTCAGCGTGGCACAGGGCCAGCTTGTCCGAGGAGATGCGGAAGACCTCCCAGAGGGGGGCGAAGGTCCTGGAGGGGGGGGGCACAGGGGCAGCGCCTGACTCTCTGCCCCAACGTCCTCCAGGGGGGTCTTCAGCCCCCCCTCCTGCCCCCTGGGGGCCACCTGCTCAACCGCCAGGCCCTCCCCCTGCAGGCTGCCCAGGGGGACACGGAAGTGGCAAGCGCAGCTCCCTCCCCCCAGAAGCCCCCAGGCCCTCCTCACCCCAGCTGGGTGCTGTTCCCGGCCATCTTGGACATCTTGACCATGGCCTTGGCGTAGGCCTCCTCCACGGCCGCCCTGGGCAGGAGGGAGGGAGAGAAAGCGGCTCCCGTCAGCCCTGGGTCCCCGGAGCATCTCCCGGGCACCACAGAGCCCATGCTTCCCTGCTCTCACGGGCAGATGGGGCGGGGCCCTCCTTGGACCGGCCTCTCCGGGATCCATGCAGACGACCCCTTTGCCAGAAAGCCTGGCCCAGAGAGGGTGGCCGGACGGGGCCCAGGGACGCAGGACATGAACCCACCACCACTGTCTGCTCTGCCTGCCCAGCCCCACGGGAGCCTCCCCATCTCGGCCGGTTCCCCTTGGAGCCCAGCTGAAGCTCGGCCTTTGGAGCCGGGGCCCCTTTGGCCCCAAAACAGCCCTGAACTCCGGCACGGAGGAGGAGAGAAAGGCGCATTAAAAAGGGCAGATTTCCATTCCTCCACTTTCCAAGGAGGGAAAACACCGGCTGGGGAATTCTGGGAGTTGAAGTCCACAAGTCTTAAGAGTTGCCCCACTTGGAGACTCCGGCGGTTGCAGATTTGCACCAGAGGGTGGGCTGCTAATCTTTTTACTACCGGTTTGGGCGTGCGCAGAAGCATCCAGGGGGTGGCCGGAACCTCCGGCCGCCACTGCCACGAGTCTGGCCGATCCGGCAGCAACCCACCTCTGGTGCAAATCTGCAACCGCCGGAGTCTCCAAGTGGGGCAACTCTTAAGACTTGTGGACTTCAACTCCCAGAATTCCCCAGCCGGTGTTTTCCCTCCTTGGAAAGTGGAGGAATGGAAATCTGCCCTTTTTAATGCGCCTTTCTCTCCTCCTCCGAGTTCAGGGCTGTTTTGGGGCCAAAGGGGCCCCGGCTCCAAAGGCCGAGCTTCAGCTGGGCTCCAAGGGGAACTGGCAGAGATGGGGAGGCTCCCGTGGGGCTGGGCAGGCAGAGCAGGCAGTGGTGGTGGGTTCAGGTCCTGCGTCCCTAGGCCCCGGCCGACCACCCTCTCTGGGCCAGGCTTTCTGGCAAAGGGGTCGTCTGCATGGATCCCGGAGAGGCCGGTCCAAGGAGGGCCCCGCCCCATCTGCC